AATAAATGTGTTTTTTTTTTTTTTTTACTTTTTAAAATAATCAAAAAGATAGTTTTAAAAACAACAATAGAAAAAACAAAATGCCAAAATTATTTCAATATCATTTTCCTAAGTTGAAATTTAGGGGTTACGGTTCAGGACAACCACCTCCCAATTGAAAGTAACCAGTAAACTCTGCTCCTTTTTATCATCACTTTATTGCTTCTGCTCTTCTCTGGCTTTGCTCAGTCAATTTCTCAGCTGATTGAAGCTGATATTTTGAGTACCACACAAGACTTGCTGTTAACAGGTTTTAGGTATTAGATTAGTCTGCTGACTAGTTCTGTTACCAGACACAGCAGATATTTTCTGACAGGATCTGGATCTTAATTATCTGGCATGGAGGCATGATCTAACAACCTTGAGATCATCAGGATCTTTGATGAACGGTTTGCTCCAAGAGGCTTTACTTTCACTGTTCATTTTATATTATGTATTATTTTGGCAAAGTGGTGGCTAATTTCCATGAATTAATCTAAACTTATTCATAACTCTCCGACCTGAGTTATTATTATTATTATTACTATTACTAATAGTATTATGACAGATCATCTCCTGACCAGACATGAGTCACAGACAGACTCGAAGTGTCCGGATGTTCGTGCTTTAAGCTGCCCAAAACAACAACTGTATGAAACACTGCACACGCCCTTCACTGATGCTCATTTCATTAAATTCACTTCCAAACTGTTTCTGAAACACACAGAGGACGAGTTTAATCTTTTATCAACTTTTCCACTTAAACGAGGCATTAAATGCACACGCGGCTTTGTTCCGTGGCTGATGCTCGCCTTGAGTTTGATCTGACCGGGGCAAAATAAACATTTCCTCGCCGCGTATTTTAGTCTCCACATAAAGCCAAGAACCTCTGCTTGGTGTTCACTTTGTTTCTACTGCGCCAAACTATTTTAGCACTCGAGTTTTGCTCTTAAATGTAGGAGAAGAAAACACAAGCGCGAGCGGCTCGCGGACGCTCGCAGACACAGAGCGGGCAGGTTGAGTCTATAAGGTTCTCATGTTTTAAATAAGAGCGCAGCGCAGTTCAACAGCTGCTCATTGCTTAATCTAGAGAGCGTCTGGTTTACTGTTAAACTACACACAGAGAGAGTAATGGCAGAAACCGCCCCAGCTGCTGCCGCTCCGCCGGCCAAAGCACCCAAGAAGAAGTCTGCAGCTAAAGCCAAGAAAGCAGCAGGTCCAGCTGTCGGTGATCTGATCGTTAAAGCCGTGTCTGCGTCCAAGGAGAGGAGCGGCGTGTCTCTCGCAGCCCTGAAGAAAGCTCTCGCTGCCGGCGGCTACGACGTGGAGAAGAAAAACTCCCGCATCAAGCTCGCCATCAAGAGCCTGGTGACTAAAGGCACCCTGGTGCAGGTCAAAGGAACCGGCGCCTCCGGCTCCTTCAAGCTCAACAAGCAGCAAACCGAGACCAAGAAGAAGCCGGCGAAGAAAGCGGCTCCTAAAGCGAAGAAGCCCGCGGCCAAGAAACCCGCTGCTGCCAAGAAGCCCAAGAGCGCAGCGGCAAAGAAGCCCGCCGCTAAGAAATCGCCCAAGAAGGCCAAGAAACCCGCTGCAGCCGCTAAGAAGGCGACGAAGAGCCCCAAGAAGGCAAAGAAGCCCGCAGCGCCTAAGAAAGCAGCCAAGAGCCCCAAAAAGGCCAAGACTGCAAAACCCAAGGTCCAGAGCAGGGCTGCAGTTCCCCGTCGGTCGTGTTCACAGGCTTCTCCGCAAAGGTAACTACGCACAGCGCGTCGGTGCCGGAGCTCCCGTTTATCTGGCGGCTGTGCTCGAGTATCTTACCGCTGAGATCCTGGAGTTGGCTGGAAACGCCGCCAGAGACAACAAGAAGACCCGCATCATTCCCCGTCACCTGCAGCTGGCGGTGCGCAACGACGAGGAGCTGAACAAACTCCTGGGCCGAGTGACCATCGCTCAGGGCGGCGTGCTGCCCAACATTCAGGCCGTGCTACTGCCCAAGAAGAGCGAGAAACCCGCCAAAGCCAAGTAAACCGATTCAAGTCTGTTTCTGAAACCCAAAGGCTCTTTTTAGAGCCACCCATGTTATCTCTCACAGAACACTTTTCTTTAACTTAATTTCGTCAGTAGCGTACATACCGCAAGGGCGTTTAATAAAAAAATGTATAATTCAAAATGAAATGTCCATAAAGAATAAATGGACATTTGTAACCGCAATAACAGCCGCGAGGCGAGCTGTGGCGGAGCTTATGAATGAGTGATCGCATCACATTAACAAAATATGTTCTTTAGATGGTGTCTTCAGTGTATTTGTAATTTTATACAGGTGGTAAGGTAATTTTGATGATATCGGATTAATGAATAGTTTAAAGCTTTGGAATAAAATAACGTATGAAGCCTAAATTGGTGTGCTAGCGTAAAGTGTATTTGTGGTGATGCTTGTAGTACTAAACATAGGGCTGGGAATCGATTCCAAAAAGAATCGAATTCCAAAGAAAATATTCGAAAGGTTGGAATCGATTCCTCATTCAGAGCCGTTTTCAGTTCAACAAAGCGACTCGAACCAGGTGAACTACTTGACTGATTCCAGTACAGAACCTATAGGATGTTGCGCATGCGCGACTGAACGAATCACTCCCCGAGACGACTCGTTCCTCCCGAGTCACATTAAAGATTCGTTCAAAACGAACGAATCGTTCAAGAACGACCCAACACTAGTCTTCAGTGTATTTGTAATTTTATACAGGTGGTAAGGTAATTTGATGATATCGGATTAATGAATAGTTTAGAGCTATGGAATAAAATAACGCGAGTATGAAGCCTAAATTGGTGTGCTAGCGTATTTGTGGTGATGCTTGGAGTACTAAACAAGAACAAAGCAATTTGAGCGGGAAACACAACCAGCTCCGTTTGAAAACAGGAGACGCGCAGTCATTGGCTAGCAGTATAGCGCATACGTCACACATCAGCCAATCACAAGCCTCTGCACCTTTATGACGCCATAAGCAGTGGCTGTATGAGGCTTTAAAAGCAGACGCATAACATAGAGCAGCATTTTCTACTTACGCAGAGCAGAGACCAAAATACATCTGAACAATGGCACGAACCAAGCAGACCGCTCGTAAATCCACCGGAGGTAAAGCCCCGAGGAAGCAACTTGCTACTAAAGCCGCCCGGAAGAGCGCCCCAGCCACCGGCGGCGTCAAGAAGCCCCATCGTTACAGGCCCGGGACCGTGGCTCTCCGAGAGATCCGCCGCTATCAGAAGTCCACCGAGCTGCTGATCCGCAAACTGCCTTTCCAGCGTCTGGTGCGAGAAATCGCTCAGGATTTCAAGACGGACCTGCGCTTCCAGAGCTCCGCTGTCATGGCGCTGCAGGAGGCCAGCGAGGCTTATTTGGTCGGTCTGTTTGAGGACACCAACCTGTGCGCCATCCACGCCAAGAGAGTCACCATCATGCCCAAAGACATCCAGCTGGCCCGCCGCATCCGCGGAGAGCGCGCTTAAACCCGCCGCTGCTTCAGCCGCATTACACCCCAAAGGCTCTTTTAAGAGCCACACAATCATTGAATGAGAG